TAAATGCACTTTTGTACGGGATACGTCTCACCCCTGACAGGGATGGTGAACGACGACGAAGCGGACAGCCGTCATCATCTCGATACGATACGCAGATGATGGAGCGAAGCTCACTCAGTGAGTGTAGTGTTGTGTATACCATTTAGAATTGGAAATGTAATTTAGAATTAGAATGTAAAAATACTATGTATATGTACATTAATCAGTTAATCGTGGGCAATTATGTTACACCATTACGTCGATCAGAGAGCTTTTCATTTTCGCTTCGTTCTATTCTTTTATCTTTTTTGCTTATTTTCATTACTTCTTTTTTTCTTCCTTCTCGACATATCTCTGTTGTACTCGAAGAAGCAGCGCCGGCCGCACGTTGAAAAATTTCCGTCGAAACGGCCGTCGACCAGTGCTGATTCCCTATCTATTTTTTTTCCTCCTTTCGTTTCGCATTAATATTCCGTAACATATGTTACACACGTCGAAGAACAACGTCGATCGGTTGGCACATAAAACGGAAGCAACATTTAGACCAATCGCGGCGCGATAATAGTTATATACAAACATGAGAACGCAGGGAGGAGTACGACGTACTTTCGTATATTTTATTGGCGTGACGCTCGGTATAAAGGGATAAAAATTATCTCTCTACGCGTGTGAAAAAGTAGAAGTAGAGCCCGAGCAATAAGAAAGATTCTCATAAAAGTACTCCCGTATTGTGAAAAAATGTGGCGTTACGTGAAGGCGAATGGAACACTGGCGATAACAATTTTGGAACGGATACAATTGTGCGGCGTCATGATGCTCGTTCTCCACTTGCCCTCCACATTATTATCCCGACGTCGATTCCTGATCTGAAATGCTCGCGCGTCGTTGAGTATTTTTTGTCGCACCTTTTTTTAGAAACAATGACGCTGCCGCTAATCTCTATTTATCGATAATTATCTCGTCGCGGTAAAAAGAACGATACAAAGTGAATATATGTATACCAATATACACCTAGTATACAAAAGCTCTCGATTCTTCGTTTTTTTCCATTTTCCCATTTCATAGTTTGATATAATTCGTAATTTAAGTATTTCCTTTCTCCCTTTTTTTGTGTCTATCTAAGTGCTATGTACATTATATGTTTTATATACATGTAAAACGATTAATTGATTCTTTCTTCCATATCCTTAATGATTGTATAATTAGGATTGACTATGTCTTAGAGTAATCAACGAAATTACGAGCTGTCGTTATTATTATGTAAAATATCAAATGTCGTACGTGTTAGATGGTATGTCCATCTCCAAGGTACCATTTTGGACGAATAGCGGTCCGTCTAACATGCCTAGCACTTTGATGAGCAAATACTTTGGAGATTACATAAATCTAATAATAATCTTCAGGTAATATTAAGTATAGATGATTTGTTTTTTTTTAATTACAAATATAAAACATGTATATGTAAATAGAACTCTTAATTATGCGCGAACATGTTCATCTCTAATTGAGCATACGTGAATTTCTTATCATCAGTCTAAGCCGAACTGTGCGGCTCCATACACAACGGCGGTTTAACAATACACGTCTCTTTCTCTCTCTCTCTCTCTCTCTCTCATTTTTTTATTTCTCCTTCTATCTCTTTTTGCCTTAAGCTTCATAGTTATCTACCATGTTAACAAATAATATCGCTGTAATAAGAAACAACAATATATATGCATACGCTACGGAAAAACGTTATCCATAAAACTTTCAAACAATCTCTTTAACGAGCGATGTGACGCACGTGGCCACCGGCCAGGTAAAGTATAATTGTCTCCTACAAACAATTCCACTCGTCGCGGAATGAAGCGTGGATCCCAGAAGATCCCTCTTCCCATCGTCGCGAATCGGTTCCTCTTTTACGAAATCCTCAACTTACGGGAATCTTAATGCCAACGAACGGAACGTAGTCCCATGCGAAAACGAGCAATTTTATAAATAAAAATTACAACGATCATTATAATCGTACAGCGCGGAAATCGTTATAGCATGCAAATGTCGATTCGAGGGAACGCGACGTCGTTGGGATCCTTGCACTTCATTGTCACAGCCCTTTACCGCCGAAATGCGGACACAGCGTGCGTTACATAGCTTTCTTCGCAATATATCCCATTTACAATAGGCCAAATGCATTGAGTTTTATCGTCACCGTCATGGTCATCGTCGTCGTCATCAATGTTAGCGTCATTGTCGTGGTCACTTTCAAAAATATATATACGCTGACTACTTAGGCTTTCGACGAAGAACGGAAAGACGTTGTCTCGTTCACAATCAACAGGATTAATTTTTCTTTTTTTTTTTTTTTCGGATATACAGTGTTATTACCCTCTAGCAATACTTCGTTTATAGCCTAGGTAATAATGAGACCCTCATATGATCCATTTGAATTACTTTTTTCTCGGTTACTTTTTTTGTAATTTTTTCTCTTCCGACCGCGTGAAACACTGAGACGTTATCACTATTTACACGGTTTAATCATAATTAGTAATTGGAAATAAATGCAAAAATATATATATATGTATGAACATTTAGTCGAGCTAATACGAGTATATCCGCAAATTTTTCCTCCCGATCGTTCGCGCGAATCGCGTGACAACCTTCTTCGTGCGCTCTTCTCGAAACAATCGGCAGAGTATATTTACCCTTAACTAAAAATCATTACGTAGCAATTCAACTTATGTACTATTGTCTTTGTTCAAGATATCACTACGCCCAGACATTTACTATGTCCCCGTTCTTTCGTCCTCCTCTGGGAAAAAAAAATCTCTCGCTGATTATGTTACTCTTCGCGTGTCTTCATCTCGCGTAGCGGAGACGTTCGTGATAAAATCCTGACTGGGTCCGCGATGATCGAATCACGATCTCAGCTCAACTCGATTTTCAGCCGAGTGAATTCAACATTTGTCATTATTCGGTTTTTGTTTTTTAAAAACAAACCGCGTGCCCGCGTGAAGATGCATTGTGCATGCATTCGCTTGTGTATTCGTGGCGAAAGAAAAGTTTAGAATTACCAGTAAAACGCAAACGTACATGGGTTCTTTTTTTTTTAACGACCTATTGCTTGCGATTGACAATCGTGAAAACGCGAATGGTCGTTTAACATACATTGTATATGTGTATAATTTATCGCGTGCATGTAGAAGGTAAAAATATATTAAACGGTCGATACGAACTATCTACAGTATTGACTTCAGGATCGGCAGTGAAACCTCCGTTTTCTACGTACGACAGTGCAGATTCGTTTTTCGTTTCGTTAGAATTACTCAAGAGACGACAATCGCAGCGCAGTTGCGTAAATAGTGATACAAGTAACTTAAAAGACGTAAGTAACTTTAATGCAAGTAATTAAAGCGCGAATATGACTTATGATATGCAAATTATGCTAACGTACTTAAACAGGTCATTCATATTACAGATATAATGTACTGGTAAAGTCTTCCCGCGTAATTTTCACACATCGTCACGTAATCTCTTTCTTGCGATGAGTAGAATAGTCTGAAGCCAATTGAAGAGTGGAAGATATAATGGTAAACACAAGTAATTACAAAAGTAATTACTAATGATAATTCCACTCTTGATAAATACATAAATAAATAAAAGAAAAAAAAGTCTAGTGTGAAAAAGTTTTCATGTTTGAAAAATGTAATTATCAATTGAGTGGCAAACTTAATATGCCATTTTTAAACATATTAAATTTATAATAAACATTTGTTAAATTATTCATATTATAAGCACATAAAAAATGGACAATTTCATTAAAAAAAAAAGGAAAATAATCTTTATATTCTTTTGATATCTTCCCTTAGAAAAAAATAATGTGATCAAAATATGCCTCCTCCCCCTCCGTTTTCTTTTATTTAAAACATTTTCTTGTATTAATAGTTTTGAAGAATTGATCGTAGAACAATAGACATTTCTTTTAAGTATTTTTATATTGAAAAAAAAGATATACTTTTTATAAAATTCTATCCGTTTTGAATTTCTTGTGTAATAATGTAATATAAGAAATTTCAATATTTTTTTTACAATATATGAACATAAATATGACAATATGCAATCCCCCTTTATTATGTACAATTTTAAGTGAGATTTTAAGTGAGTTGATTTAAAATCAACTTCCTCTCCGAATATACAATAATAAGTATTAAGATCATAATCCTTCTTAAAATTACAATTGACTTCAGACTCTTCTATTCATTCTCGCAAGGCTCGTAAAATCTTGAATGCTCTTGTAAAATACGAAATGATGGACTCACTGAGAATTCTTGTCATTTAGCGCTAAAGGTGGGTATATTTTATAACTTTAAGTGTTTCACCAAGTGGGAATGTCGAGATTAGAGATCAAATTGCCACATTTAGCACTAAACTCGGCTACCACTCGTAAATATCGTGTAGAAGGAGGTATCGTTAACTTAAATAGAGGATCATAAACGACGCGAATAGAGAATGGGAAAGGAAAGAAAGCTTAACGTCGCTGCTATCAGATTTTCTACGATTTTCAATGCACACCTCTTTTGTAATAACGATTGTCTCGCCTCCCTCAGTCTCGAATTGTCGGGATGAACCGACTTGACATGAAAGTAAATAATGGACGGTCATGACGGATATGCCCACTCTTGCGAGTTTTAAAAGGGGCAGTATTGTGCGATTATTAATTAATTGCTATCAATATTTTAGAAATCAATATTTCTGATTTTGCGCAACAGTCGTAATTATGAAAACCCTCAATATCCTCGATGAGATCAGTATCTTGGAACTAGAATAACCAACGTCAAATTGGAAGACAGGGTGGACAATTTTGTGCATTAAAAAAGCTTGCAAGAACTAGCTTGTTTTCTATGAGTTAATTTTTGAAATAGAGATTTATTTTATAACAGTTACAACCTAACTAAAATAATAGAAATAAAATAATAGAAATAAAATATTAAAAACATGTAATCTGAATATGTATTATTTTTTTCTTCCAAGCTTTAAACCATGGTATAATATTGGTTATTCCAGCGCCAAAAGACAATATATTCCATGATATTTATAGTAACAATAACGTCACTGTTGATCGTGAAGTTTGATTGCATACTTAGAAATTTGATAATATCTATGTATTTCGGCGTCAGTCACAGTCAGAGCGAGGAAAGTCATTCCCCATATTGATATTTCAAGGATCTCTCACGGATTTCCCGACAGTTGTTGATATCAGCATAGTGATATCTAAACATAATCGCTATGACGAGAAGCGTACGTGCTGACGTGCACAAAGTAATCGAAGAACAAAATTATCATGGGGTTGTTCTCTCGTCTATCTTTTGGATCATGCGTGTATTTACAGAAAAAATATACTTTCCTCGACGATCGGTGCGTCGATTTGGAGCTCGATCGTTCGATGCGTCGTGATTACATCGCTGTTTAGCGAGTACACTAAATAACGCTAAGGCGAGCGGACAAAGACGAAGAATTAGAGCAGGGAAAACGATAAAAATGAGGGGAGGGAAAGGCAGAATAGCGGAGGAGGAACGGTAGAACCAAAAACTCCTCGAGCTTTTTGGAGAACGCTCGCGTGTGTTGGATCGCGCGGTCATTCTCTCTTTCTCTCCTTCTCCAAGATCGCTCCTTATCGAGCCTTCAATTATATATACATGTATCCCTAAGATTAGAATTCAATCGCGTAGGAGAGCCCCGCGCGTGTCTCCTTTCTAGGAAGTAACCGCGTGGAAGGGAAAGGCTGTTTACAGCGTGAACCTGGTGCACCACTCTCTCGTCCCGCATCAACGTTCTTATTTTTTCTTTGTTTTTGTCTTTCTCTATTTACACACTTCGTCGTACTTTCGTTCTTGTGCACCAAACAGAGTCCTCGGAGATTGTTCAGGCGCATGATGATGAGTGCCAGGACCTTCAGCCGCGACACCGTCGTTCGTGAGCCGTCGCTGCGCTCGTCCTCTTCGCTGTCGTTTAGGGAGATGAACAATGACGATGCGAATGAGGTGGACGATTCAGAGGAGGATCCATCATCCCGACGCTCTGCGTCGTTCAGAGACGCGTACTCCTCTCCGTGACCGTGGTTGGTTGACGGTCCTCGTCGTCGTTCTGAGCGATGGCACGATATTTGCCGCGCGTCGAGCTGGGCCCGAAGATTGGTGAGCCTCAGACAAGATGACCGTCGATGTCGGAGTAACTAGGCGTCGCCGCAAACGTCGACAGCGGATGACTCTGGCAGGATGGCGGCGGTGGATGCAAATGCGGATGCGAATGAGGACCTCCGTTGTTGGTACCGGCACGGGCGAACGTGGCGGGTGGCGGCGGCACCGATGGCGGTATCGGCGACTTGGTGCCCGCGGTCATCACGGTGACGTCGGGCGGTGGCACGGGACGTGGCAGCGTTCTGGTGCGCGTCAGGGTGCCGGTGCTGGCTCCCGTCATGTGCCCACCCATTATGTGACCTGTCGAACCCATGGACGAGGGATAGTAAGGTCCGCCGGTTGGATCGATGGCGGGTGGCGCCGGACTTGGATTCCCGTCGTAGCTCATGTAGCCTCGACCGCCATTGTCCATCTCCACGCTGTAGAAGCTCACGTCGTTGGGCGGCGCCGGGCTCGGATTGCCGATGTAACTCGACTTCGATACTGTAACATTAGATGAAGACAATTGTTTTTAAGAGGTGACATGAAAAGCTACATAGACGTTAGGTACTGTCGGAGAGACAATAATGAAAATTCAGTGGATTCCATATATGCCGTTATGATTTATGACACTGCAATCCGTCAAATTTCGTATCTAGGATTCCAATATTTTTCTTCATATTATCCCTTAGTGCTTTAGGACACATGATGTATCACTTTATCCATATTCAATGAACACGGATAAAAGGATATGTCATAAAATCATACAATTTACGGAATACAGCCTACATTTCTTATCGTCGAGAATTAAAAATAATATGAATTTTTTCAACCTTTCGATGCTATACTACAGAAATAATAAGGCCGTCATAGCATATCCAACAAATTTCTTTCTCTCTATAACTTTCATAAAAATAAACATATTTTAAAAGTAAACATTTTTTTCAATCAAAACATTACACATTAAAGAATATAACATAAACAAATATGTATATATTTTTATTAATAGGAAAATGATAAGCAATGGGAAAAATTGGAAAAGTTGAAGAAACTGGATATGTCATGCTAAGAGTGGCACCGAAGAGTAATATATTTAAAATTGTAGTAACAAGGAAAAATATTAAAATTTACATGTAACGTATAAAAAAATATAGCGGATCGTACTGTATTTATATAATTTGTATTTATTGATACTTACACGTACCTGAGAGAGTCCCGCTGGCGGTAGTCCGCTGTGGCGGCGAGTCCATGTTCATGGATGTTTGCATGTGATTGCTGCGACGACCGAGGGTGCCCTGATGAACCTGCATCTCTAAACCGCCTTTCCCGAAATCCTGCATAGTTTGATCTATTAAATACGTGCTAGCTGCGGTTTTGCGCCCCTCGTCCTGTTATACAACAAATTGAACGACAAATTGATTTGTGATTTGTGGTCCGATATCCGGTTACATTTCGCAAATAACATAGACGGACATAAAACGGGCTTCGGAAGATAAATCTATTTGTTTCAGAAATTTGCTCCAATAAATCATAAAATTTCTCTTATATTAATGCAATCAATATGCATTAATACATATTGTTTCTGATATAATAAAATATCTAAAAGAATTATTTTGTTACATACTGTTTCTATCATTAGACTTTAAATATAAATCTGAAAATAATATAAGTAATTTCTATACATAAATAATTTAATTCCTTGCATTTCTTTATAATTAATATATTAATACAAGTTTCAACAAGTGTCTTTTTGTACTTAAGATCCTTTTCAGTGGAAGTATGAGTAGAGAAGAGCGAGAGAGAGTGAGTTATTTATATCTTGGTAGTATTAGAATTAGAATATCGATAATTAACGCGATAATAGTTCAATCGCTAAAATATAATTCAATTTGCATTTATTAACATTTACAATTAACTTCATTTCCATTTCAAATCTTCGTGCTAATTTTACGAAGATAATATTAACAATATTTAAAGTATCAAGTAGTCTAATAATTTAATTAATTTTACTAATCTAATTAATAATATAATTGACTTATAGTAAGCTTATAATTAGCGATTTATTAATAACATTTAATGTTGTATTATTAATAATAAATTAATAACATAATCATAAAATCTATAATCTCCTATAATTAGTGACACCTAATCGAAAATTAGTTTTAATCGTTGTATGTTAAGTCTGAATGCATAATTAACAATGAGGAATTTTATTACGAAGCTCCGATATCCGCTCATTCCGTTTTGTTTAGCTTGCTATTTTAAACGTCATTTTGCTTGTAGTCGTACAACGTAGATTCACGTTAAGAATTTTGCTCGCACATTTTATGTATTTTTCTCGACGAAGGATAGCGTATCTTGAGAATGTCTACAATATCGAACAGCATCATACAATCACCATAGCGTGTCAAATCGACGCGATCGAGATTAACCACGTTCTCCGATATTACGCTTTCCTTCGTCTCAAACATCTACGGATATGTACTCGCTCAACACAAACTAATAACAATAACATTATATCAAAAATGCATTCAGAAATATAAGATGTTATCATTTTATCTTTGTTGTTTACCAATTATTAAATGGATTAAAAGGATAAAGTGATATATGCACTAAGAAAAATTTCTGGTTGAAAATGAACAAATTAAAACATTCTAATCATGTAAATTAAAATTTTTTTTTTAAACCAAAAAAAGCTTGATTTGTTCACTTTTAACCAGAATTTCAATTAATGCAATCAGACTTTTTTTTCAGTGTAAATGCAATTGAAGTTTCTGAACGCAGTCCAATATTACAAATTCCCAGCCAACAATATAAATGTAGTATAATACATATTGTACATAACATACATATTGTATATAACAGTTACATTATTGAGTAGGAAATTATAATATTATAATATTAATTTGATGTTACTAATAGTTTGTGTTCAGCGGGATAAGATAATCTATTTATTAAAGGACGCATCGTTTCCACATCGTTTACCCCTTCAAAATTCATCGCGCACTGAATGGATTCCTGTAATTAATTGTAATATCGAGTATTAATTGAATATTACACTATTTTTTTTATTAATTTTTTAAAATAATATTTCACGATTTGCGGAACGACGTGAAGTTGCCTGCTCGCGCTCCGATTCTTTCCTAATGTCGCGCAACATATAAAGAACGTGCCAAAACGGCGGTTTATTCAGTTTATTGCATGTCGCGATGTTTACTCATCCCGAATGCGTGTGTCGCAAATGCAATAAACGGAAATGCTGAAACGACGAGTAATCATCGTGTTGTATTAACGTGTACACTCGCGCGAGATTAATCGCGTTGTTCAACGTCGCGTTAGTGGCGTATTTCTCTTCGGTCGAGTTCTCGCTCCGCGTTATTCATTTACGGTCTATTTTATCTATTTGATAAAAAATGCAAAATTTTCGGCGTTAGTTAGTTATTCATTCGAAACTTATTGCGCCAATAATTAAACAGATATTTGCATCAATTGTGGCATTTACAAGAAATAGCTTTATTGAAATCTTGTAAAAAATTCTCTAAGAATTCCCGGATTTTTTCCAGATATTTTTATTTAAAATTCCAAACAAGATTAGACAATTTTTTAAATGCAACTTTGAAATAAATTGGAATGCAAGTAATGCAAATAGATTAAATATTGTAAATTAGTAAAAGAAAGGTATTCCAAGAGATTATATCCATCATTTTATTAAAATTGCCATTGCTTCTTTAATATCTGATAGTGTGCATTTAGTAACTTTGTATTCTTTAAATTCTCGCGCGCGGTTTGTGGTGACGCGATCCGCGTGAAGTTGCTGGCGCGCGTTTCGAAACGTTGCCAACGTCACGATACACATAAATGGCACCGAAGCGTCCATGTCGACTCGCTGCGTCTCGCGCTATTCGCTCATCCCGATTGCGTCGCAAGTGCAATAAACGTCGGAAATGCCGATACAAACCATGGGTGAGCATCGTGTTATATTATATCAACGTATATGATCACGCGAGATTAATCACGTCATTCGATGTCGCGTTATTCGCGCGCTTATTCTTTTCGGTCGAGTTCTCGTCCCGCGTCATACATGGGCATAGTCTATTTGTTAAAAAACGCGGGATTTCGGTGGTAGTTATTCATTCGAAACTCATCGCGTTAGTAATTGAATATAGATATTTGCATCAATTGTGGCGTTCAGTAACTCTCAATTGTTTCGATAATATTTCGACCGCGGAATGCCGCGGATTCGCATAAAATTGCCGTGAGTTTAGAGTCCTTCCTTATATCACGTAATGGCGTCCGCGCTATTTGCTCTTGAACACATCGCAAATGCAATAAACCTTGGAAATGCTGAAACCAATAACGGATAAACATTGTGTTGTATTATGTCAACGTACACGGTCGTGCGAGATTAATTACGTCATTCAATGTCGTCTTAAGGCCCGATTCCACCAATGTAAAGGGAGCACAGAGACTTGTATAACGCATAATGTATAATATGCAAATGAAAATAAATCGATCAAAGTCTTTCATTTCTTTTTATTTTTTTCGAAATAAAAGACTAATTGATTGAATTTCTTCTGCTTTATGCATTATACGTTATGCATAAGGCATAAAGATTAGTGCTCCGGCCTTTAGATTAATTTTAATCTCGGTTCTATACTCTTTATCTTTTTCAAATCGAAGAATTTGCGCGCGCAGTTCACAGTGATGAGGTCCGCGTGAAGTTGCCGACGAGAGCTTCGACTTCTTCCTAACTTCACAGCATGCATATGGCGCTAAAACGTCGACTCCATTACGTTCTCGTGTTCGTCTCGAACGTGTCGCAAGTGTATACAACAAACATCGGAAACGCCGAAACAAACGACGGGTGAGCACCGGACTGTATTATATATTAATTATAAGTACGATTGCAATTAATTGTATCGTTCTACAACCTCAACCATTTCTATTTTCAGCATTCATGGAGAAGCGTCATGTTATGTCTATCCTTCTAAATCGCGCATCAGATACGATCAGGTCAATTAAAGTATTCGATTATGAACCCTAGAGCGAAATATTGATTAAACTGTCTACTAGCTAGCTCGACAATTGTGTTATGTGAATCAGCATGTTCACGCGCATTTCGAATTTCTCGCTCAACGCTCGTCATTACGTCGCGCATAATGAACGTCGAAAGTCGCGATCGGACGATCGATCGTCGCGTATTGCATTATTTTTTTCGTCACGAGTGCAATAAACACCGGATGTGCTATACAAAGTGGCGAGAGATCATCATGTTTCGTTAATTAGTAGTCGCGATGATAATTAGCTATTTAGTGCTTCGAATTGACTATTATCCACCTCAGTGACTATTTCGGGCGGTGGGAACACCGATGGAGAAATAGCGGCAACAGTGTAACGACTGGTAAGTAAATTTGTTCGATCGTCGATTAATTAACCCGACATGATCCTGGAAAAGCGAATTTATCGCAAATCGGAAAAAATAAGTTATACGCGTTATATTCTCATATTACATTCTTGTTCGATCGATAGTAATAAATTTGATATTTCGTGCGTGAAAAATTCGTTAATCCTATCTTTAACAGAATATAAAATAATAAAAAATAATAAAAAAAATTTTAACTAAATAAATAATAAATAATAAAATAATGAAAACCAAACAATAATCGAATAGAAACCAAAAATGTAAATTTTATCAGATTTTTAAAAAATTATTTTTTACTGAATTATTTTTGCGTGAAATATAATCTTTCTCTAAATTTATTGGTTTAAAAATTGTAAAGTATCTTCGGATTATTTACTTTCAAAAAAATAATTTTTATACATCGATAGGTAAATTTTATATGTATCAATAAAGAAACATAGTCTTTTCATTTTCATTTACAGATCAACATCATGACATTCAATTCCACATCATTCCGGTGAGTCATATAAATTAAATTTTTTAATGTCATAATATAACGTGAAAATAAAGTTAAAACTAGTATTTTTTTTCTTCATTGAATTTGAACATCGGTCACAATTGAATTTTAACATTGTGCGCGGTTCATTATATTTTATTACTCTCTCACTCTCTTACTACTCTTACTTCCATTATACATGAGGTCTAACACTACTGCGAGAAAGAAAGCAAGTGTTTAATGATTTAAAAAGCCAAGTTAGAGTGATTTTATGAAGAATTTATAAAACCGTAAAATCTTATTGGATTAAGATGTTGCGAGCATTTAATAATAAGACTGTTATAATCATAATGCTATGTTTTGAGTTTAAGAGATACGTTAGATTTACCTGAGGGTAGTTACCTTTAGCCAAACTCTGCGATCGAATGATATGAGGTCATTATATGACAAATATAGGTGATGACATATTATAAAACAATATCAGGATTTTATACGAAAATGAAAGTACGTGCTACGTTATGCAAGTTGCAAAAATAACTGCAATTTGAAAAAAAAAACAGTAGTTTAACTTCAAATTATTTAAGTTAGCTTCGTATTCAGGTTCCTACTAGTTCCTAGATTACTGGGCAAGGTCTCGCGTAGCTTTCAAATAATCGATAACTGAAATAACATCATGCTTAAGTAGTGCTATACATATTGGATAAACGGTTGAAAAATAAAATTAAAATTGGTAGCAAGGGGAAATAACAGTATCGTTATTCTGCTCATTCTAATGCTTATCACAACATCTTACGTTAGAAGATAAAACGGAACTGTGAAAAAAACAGAAACCAAATGATAAAAAGGAGCGAGAGCGAGAGTAGCGAAACTAATAGGGGTAGCGGAACAGAAAAAGTGTTGCTAGAACTCAAACCTACCCTCCGGAATTACTTGTTACTAAGAACATACTGACTGATGGCACTGACCACGTAATCATTAGCGTCGAAGTTGACATCGCTCTTCTCGTCTGACATCGAACTTAATTCGCCAGTCATGGTGTCGCCATTGACGGTGGATGGTGCATACATATCGGCGGTCTGCGACTTATTAATGCCTATTCAAAAATAACATATGTTAAACATGTGTGATTAGCAAAGCGAGATGCGAATGGTAAGGCTACACAGCCGCGTACAGAAGATTAATTTAATTGAACTCTCTAAATCTCGTGAAGTGAAATCTTACTCGAAAAGACTGAAAATTTAGTCTGTCTTAAAAGAAAAGAAAATACGGCCACTCTTGTTCAAAAGAGGCAGATTTTCACTCTTTTTAGAGTGAGATTTACTCTTTTGAAATGAGATTCATTCTAAAGGAGTGAAATCTTAATCCCTTTTTTGGAATGTAATACCAGGATAGGTGGAACTCACTCCAAAAAAGGGATTAAGATTTCACTTCTTAGCTTCGGAGTGAATCTCATTTCAAAAGAGTAAATCTCACTTTAAAAAGAGTGAAAATCTGCTACTCTTGAACAAGATATTTTCACTCTTTTTTCAGGACAGGAAATTTTCAGGACACTAAATTTTCAGTCTTTTTAAATGATATTTTACTTCACGAGATTTTGAGAGAAACAATATAATTTTATTTTTTTAACTACAAGTAAATCGAGAATATTTTTGACAACAACAAAATGTGAACAAGAAAAAACACATAACGGTAATGTTAACAAAGTATAATCATAAATTCATTATTTTTGTAACTTTATCAGTCTACATATATCATAGCTATATATTTATTAGTATGATTAATTATCTTTATTTAATTGACATAATTGAAGTTAGACAATTCCTTAAACATTTTAATTAGATTAAATGTATAGTATTGTATGTAATTTTCATTTTACTTTAAAATCTCTTGCAAAATTGGCTAGGAAAGTAAAGTAACTCATCTTCTGCCGTGGCTGTAGCTGAACGTTGGGCTAAATCTTATAATTTGAAGCGCATACGCGCTAAGTATTGTTGGTCACAAACTTACGAGTTTTATTTCGTTTTCGTATTATGTACCACGACATGATGAAGACATTAACGATAAAAATGATGACGGAAGTCGCTGCTAATGTATAGATATAATTCATCGGAAAGTCACCCTTTTCCGAGAGAACATCCGGCAGGTTTTCCTCGTTATTCGGGCCTAAAGAAATAAAGGAGAAAAAGAACACATGATAGATATTATATTTACCGGTACGTTGGACCTTCTTTTTCGATTTTATTGTAGCAAAGACTATGGTTGCGGCAATGAGTAGGCAAGCAGAGGCGGAAACAGTGATGATAATGACGATGATGTAGGAGGAACTATTCTCGCTTGATGTCAACTCGGTTGGTGGCGCCTCGCCTGTAACCCAAGCCAATGCCCCATCACCGGTTTATGTTATTCATGCAATGTATCTACTGTTAGTTACACGTTCAACTTCGAAATCCTCGGCTATTGCGAATGCTGTAACGCCACTTATTGGATTTTACAGCCATTGGAATTTACAACTAGATAAGTCAAATAGCAACTAAATACTTGCTTAACTTATATCCCTATAAAAAAGCAAGCAAGTAACTTATCTTTCTACATTATAAAATAACCATAATAATGCGCGGTTACATACAGTTCAATTTCCAAATATCAATTGTAATTTCTTTATCAAGTCTACAATTTATCTAATTTGGAATTAGAAGCGTTTGGAAAAATACAATTTCGAAAAAATTTCAAGGCTAAGCGTCACCGTACTGATACCATTGATATGAATCATGCTGAAAATCACTGCGTTATACGTATGATATTGTATACGCTATGCTACGTAATATTCAATGTACTTTATTACAACTAACCCACGATATAATGCCATGCGAACATTCACGAGACGCACTAAATATACGTAACATAATATACGATCAACCCAATTACTGAGTACAATTAATTATGTGGATGCGAGGCAATCGCGTTTAATTATGTCTCGATGATCTGCATAATGATTTAGCAAGCTGTTATTTTCTATCATGTAGTGTGAATAACTTAGTACAGATATTTCGTTTATGAGAAAAAAACCTATAATCTTCATGAGAATGATCTTTATGATTATGATTTCTGTTAATTACGTCATACTATAGTAGAAAGCTGTTTTTGCTATTTTCGAGTAGTGAAAGCGATCTACGGTGTTTATCTACAACTTACGAAGCGTCTGGACTTTGACAAGATCTGGTAAGAAACCGCTGTCTCCCTTTTCGTTGATGGCCTTTACGCTAAATACGTAATAAGTCCCTAGCGACAGGCCGGATATAGTAGCTTTGTATTCGCCGGGCACGACGTCCAGGTAGTGATAGCGATCTTCATAGTCCAACGCTTGTCGCCATCGTATTTGATGAGACGTTGGCAAACCGCCGTCGAAACCGCGTTTCCAAATCAATGTGACTGAGTCGTGCGTATAGTTGTAGATTTCCAAGTCGCTTGGCTTGTCCGGCGGTGAAGTGACGTCCAAAAGTATATTTTCTGTGGAGTGTCCCATTTTATTTTGGGCAAGACATTCGTACTTTCCGTAATCCTGCGATCTCACTTTGTAGATGGTCAACGTTGTTTCCGAATAGAGTTCCGACAGCTAGGAAACGTAGAGAATTATTATTTTATCATTAAGGATGCAAATATTATTAAGACATCAAAATCAAAAAGATATTTCGAATGCGTAACTGTCTTTCGAGTATATAGTTCTTGTAATAATACAGTTATCGTTTCTCTCGGCAAAATTTTAATTGGGTGTTGTGACCTCTTTACAACTTTCGAACTTGCAACAGTAAATATCTTCTTAACTATGTCCGACATGGAAATTCTATCAAAGCGAAATTCGTTCGAAGTTAAACGAAGAACAAGATTTACAGTACGCGATACAATACTACGGAGTCTAGGTGCTCTAAAGGAGATATACTGGTAAAGGAAGTCGTTATTTAAGAGATAAGTACATCTTATAAAGCGACTTACATCGCTGTGAGTGATACTGTATTTATCCTCGGTTGCATTCGGCAATAAAGTTTTCCCATTGAAGATCCAAGTGAAATGCGGCAATGGAGATCCTCGCGCTTTGCAGAACAATTGGACGTTTATTCCTTTGTTCGCCGCTGCCTTTCGCGTCAGCGGGGTGTTCGTCATTTCTGGTTTAACTGCGCATAAAAGTACCAGTAAATTCTTTATTACGCGCTTTCCGATACATGAATCGCGCGCACGAATATATTTCGAGAAGTTTCGCATATATTCCACGTACATCTACTGCTTTTTTTATTATTAGGTTATGGTTAAACGATATTTTTACAATAATTATAGAGCCAGCGACTTATTATTATTAACTATTATTGATATTATATTGGCTGAAGCACAATTATTGTAATAATAACATTGTAAATTTAATTATTAATATCTATAATTAGGATACTTTTCACTAAACTATTAATATAATTGTTTATTGTATAAATATTAAACTTAAATAAATATTAGTAGTCATTATTATTAGTATTTCATACAGAAATTTTTCAATTTTTGTTTCACTTGCTAAATTCATTGCTCGTGTTTACTTTTTTTCTAAAAATATAGTAACAGCTAAAATCATTACTAAATGATGTATTATAATTAAATTCACACGATACACAGCAATTAAATTACCGTATGATACAATATTTAAATTACTAAAATAATTATTAAACTGAATCCATCCAATTTTTATCGTCCATTCACGCTTAGAATTTCTCACTTAAAATTTGGCAGTATTATCATTGTAAACAATTAAAATAGAATTCTTCACGTACAATTAGTAATAAATAGAATAGGATCCGATGTTATGTTGCCAATGCCGTTGTTGACCTTGCATCGATACTCGCCAACGTCTTCTTGGCTGGGATTTTCTATGTGAAGATACGACGTCCGATTAATGAATGATGTCGAGTATCGTCCCGGCAGCTCAGGATTTGATCCTATTTTCTGCCATGTGACATACTCGTCACCAATCGGACTGCCGTCGACCTCACAAAACAGCTTTGCTTCGATACCCGGTGGATAAACTATCCCCGACGAGGAAGTACGTTTGATTTTAGCTGGATCTGTAGAATATAGTGAATAAAATGATGAATTATAATTTGCATATTAGCCAGAACAATTTTAGACATACATTAAAAGACTTTTTAAAATCACTTGATGTCGAAAAAAATTACTGTAGAAGGAAGAGAAAGAGAAAAAAAATATTAAAGAAGATTAAGGTAATTATAAGAAATTCGACAAAAAATTAGAGATAGGAAATTGTATAAATAATTAAAATAAAATTATATATATATATATAATTCATAATAAATAAAATAGGATCTGATATTATACATATTAGCGAGAATAATATATTAAAAAGATTTTTTAGAATCACTTGATATCTGAAAAAATAATTATAAGAGAAAGAAAGGAAAAAAGATATTATAGAAGATTAAAATAATTATATAAAATTCAGCAAAAACTTAGAGATAGAAAATCGCGTGAGAGACAGACTCTTCAGTTATATACAAATAGATATTAAAGTCAATACAATTTTTTAAGATATCAAATACTGCTAATTTCTTTTAGCATAAAATTAATCGTGATTGTAATAAAATTTATTTGCAAATGACGCATGATATTGTTCACTTACACTGCACGGTCAAATTTAGCTGGTAAAAGGTGGTTCCTTCCTTATTCAGCGCTTCGCATATGTATGTACCGGCGTCATGACGATCCAATCTCGTGATATTTAGCGTAGAACCATGTGCTGTTATTCTCTTACCGTTACTACCCAACGGTAGACCATCCCTTGTCCACGTGTATTCCGTCGTGTTCGGATTGCCTCTTGCCGATACGGAAATTACAAAAGGCTCTCCTTCCAGGCCGGTTAATTCGTAAGGGTCCAACGGTGAGAATATCGGCTTGTCTGAAGAAAGGAACAAAAAAAATAAGTTCGTTATAGTATTTTATTTTTATAATTAAGCAAGATATTAAAAGAACGAATATATACATTTGATATCATTTTCAAATAAGCACATATAATATCGTGAAAAGAAATGTAAATAAATCTTCTTAAAATCTATTCAAAATTAGTATTTAATAAAACTGTATAGCTTCATTTTTTTTTATTTATACAAAGCTTTGATTGTTAATTATATAATTTTATTTTTTCGATTTTCTGGATATAATCATGCAATTAAAAAATTTAAACAATCCATATATTGTTATTCGAGCAGCGAGATTACAATTTTAAAAAGGATGGAAAAGCTGTTAAATTTATATATCTATTTATTACCTATATACTATATATTTAATATTTTTTATATGACGTACATATCAGTGTATTTTTAATATATTTTTATAACAAGCTTATAAAAATAAATAGCAGATTAATTGTTCTCCCTCCACAATCTCATCTACACATTCTTTTCGACTCGTTTGTACTTCGATTGATTGTTATTTTACGCCGTTGTTATTGTATAGACGAGGTATTGTGAATGAAATGCAAATAAATTTATACCAGAGCGGAATCCAATATATTCAGGGAGATAGAAAGGGATACTACCGTGCATTCGCGCTTTGCGGAGATTTCCGGGTTGAATGCACTCGCACTACTCGTATAGTCATACACGATCGTGCATGAATGCTGATCTTCGCAGGTGTACAGATTATGTCGTTAAGAGAGATCTACTTAGGGTCTACACTCACATAGCACATCCAGTGTCGTAGCGTCGTGGCTAGATCTCCCCAATTCGGCGTTCTTGGCCTCGCAGGTGTACACTTCGCCGTTCATGTCCTCGGTTAAATCTAGTGTGAGCTCGACGGACGAGAGGTAGCCGCCGTGTAATCCGGGCTTGGTGCTGTTTCTGGTGCCGGGTACCGGTATCCCATTCTTCCACCACGACATTTCGGCGGCGGGATTGCTGCTGCTCGATTCGCAGATTAGGCGTCCCTCCTGGCCGGCGTGAAAATCCTGGGGCTCGCGGTTAATCTTCACCCTCTCGGGCGGAACTGGAGAGGGTGAAAAAGTCAACGGTTTAAAATATTATTGCGCCGAGATTCGCGATTCACGACGTGAAGAAAAAGAGAGTAATTATAACGTCGTTCAATCATTTCTATGTGCAAGCTTTTCTTACTGGAGAAACTTAATGTCTCTCACTCGATCTAAGTGACCCCACGATAAAAACACACAAAAGGGTTCTGATAATGAATATACGGGATGAGTCATATCTTACAATAGACTTTTAGCACGAGAACTTTGAGCAGGGGGATTTCGGTGGCGGAATTCGTCGCTTCGCATCGCACGTGGGCATTGTTGTCGGACGCGTTGACGAGTATCGCCAGCTCGCTCGAGACAGCATGATTTCGCTGTCTCACTGTGCCGAGTACCTGCATTATAAGAGAATGTTAACGTAACTATCTGTATCCGCAGTGACGGATCTCAAAGTTGATTTAGAGATCAAGAAAAATGCTTGCAAAAATTAGAAAATTTCAAAGGTACAGAAAAAAAATCTGTATAAATTATAAGATTTTTTAGATCAAATTTAAAATTTAATAATTCTTATATATAAATTATTGACTTTCATTGTTCTTTCCCGAAATTCTTTCATTTCTATTTGAGAAAATCGCAAAAAGAATTAATGTCATTATTTTGTGTAATTATATATATTAAAACTTTAGAAAACGAGTTTTAAGATTTCTGTTCAATACACTGCGAGGAATTTTAATCTCCAGATGCAAGATTGTTTCCAAATTTAATTAAGCGCCAGTCCTAAGAAAAACAAACACATTTGGAATTGGATAATCCATTAAATTAATAAATTGATTACTTCCGTCATTATCATGTCTTCAATAATTGGTAAAATTTTTGAAACTGGAAGAAATGAGGAAACAGTTTTGCATTTACAGTTTCATGTTTTTGAGTTTATGTGATAATCCGCCACTACTAGATTTACGACGATCCTTTGTACAAGTTCACGTACCTTGCGGTCGTTTTTGTACCATGTTAACGTGGGCAATGGATTACCCGCCGTAGCGGTGCACATGAGCTTTAACACTGTTCCAGCAACTATCGTCGTGCCCTCTTCGTATCCGGTGACGATTAATTTAGAAGGTGGATCTACAAAATCAAATAAGTTCAATCATAACCGGTTAATTACTGTTTGAATATTCACACATTATGCATCTCTGACATTTGCTACGCTGAGAAAAACGCCTCTGGTTAAAAATGGACGAATCAAAAGATTTTGATTGTACCATTCAGAATTCCTTATCTCAACCAGAATTCTAGTAGATTTAATCAGAAAATTCTGATTCATTCATTTTCAACCAGAATTCCAATTAATCCAATCAGACATTTTTCTCAGTGATATTATATACATATATATTCATGCACGATTTAAAAATACTTTTATCGAAAGTCAAAATGTGAATGTGAGTGAAAAAAGAATTTATACAATATAAAAATTTTTTACACCAGTAACAAATGTGTAATAAAAAAGCACTCAAACGTTTTTCCTTCATTTTTTGTCACTCACATTTATCGTTCGTCTTTGCCTTTATCTTGCCTTGTTTGTCGACTTCATCTCACTGTTCACTGAACATTCGGTAAAAGGCTTATAATAATTTGTAAGGATTATTTATTGAATTCAGTTACGCTATGGACACGAGTGGCATTCGTTATAGTCTCGGATTGCCGAGCGCGGTATTGATTGGAGGCCACTAATTGTTTAGTATATTCAGACAGCGAATAATTTTAATGCATGTAATTACAAACTGAAAACGCAGTTGATTATACAAGGATTATTTATTTATGGCGGAAATTAATGTCGGTCGATTACGGTTGTATTATTGCAAGAGTGTATCATGCGCAACATGACGTAATGTCGAATATGTTAAATGAATTCTGACCATCCGATTCACGAAATAGTGTACGTATGCGTGTTTCGGGACTCCGGATAACAATGGCGTGGCCGATTAATTTGTCATCGCGTGCCGTGAAGATGTCAACGGGAACAACAACAATAATCGTTACCCAATTTTCTAAACGTATGTTACAAATTGATCATTAAAAAGATTTTTTCGCCAGCTTGAGAAGAGTACTTGCACGCGTTATAATGTTTTAGGAATGATCATTTTAACTTATCTTGGACACAGCTTTGCTCATTTCATTATATGCATTTGAATCGTATATTATCTGTGATAAAGAGCATTTTTAATCAGAAGTTAAAAGAAGAAATAAATCTTCATATAATGTTATTTTATATTATATTAATATGTTGTTTACGTTTTAATTAAAAATATATTAAATGTCGGTTCTCCTCTTTAATGAGAATATATCCATGAAGAGGATTAATTGCATTCGTAAATGAAGCGAAGAGCGTAAATAATGAACTAAATTTCATTTTTCGTTTTAATTATGTTAATCCTACCTCATTTTTATCTTAACAAGGATTTATCTGAGGCGCGGCCGTTAAAAATATTTAATATCGGCAATTGGCAATTGGAAGGTCCTTCCGTAAAATATCTCATACAGTAGTTTCGGTGTATCCAGTACGAGTCTTTGACGCGGGACGGAAATTAGATTTTCGCCGCGGGCGAGAAGAGCAGTGTCTCGTTACAACTGCAATGTGTCCGCGTGATGCGCTTGTACCGAATGCCTGGCGAAATTGTATGATAGAGAAGAGGAATGCTCACATATCACGTTGATGGTGTGCGTGCCGACCACATTCTCCGTGAGCTTGGCGTTGGAAGCGTGGCAGATGACGACGATGCTGCGGCTCTTGCGATTAATGCTGAACGTCACGTTCGAGCTGGTGATCCAGCCACCGTTCGGTGCCAGCTCCGTCTTCGAGGCATTGCTCTCGAAATTATGCCCGTCCACCGTCCACTTTATATCCGCGGGCGGATTCGAGTTCTCCGTCGTGCAAGTAATGAGCACCTGGTCGTCCGCCTTCGCCTCGGTCGGACCGGTGATGGTTACTCCGGCAGGCGCGACTGTAGAATCATAACAGTAAGCGCGTGAAAAAACTCCAATTGGTTGATCTGAATGGGCGGTTAATAAAAACTCACGGTGGGAATGATAAAAAAAAAGGACAGATACATTAGAAAAATGTCTGGTTGAAAATAAACGAATCAGAACTTTCTGGTTAAATCTAATACTATTCTAGTTGAGACAACTGGAATTGATATAATCAGAGTCTTTTGGTTCCTCTATTTTTCAACAGATATTTTTCTCAATGTAGATATAAATACTTAATTAATTTGAAATAAAAGCAGATCCAGAATAAATGTTTAGTGAATATATGCTCTCTAAATTCTTTGAAATGAATTTCACTAAAGAATTTAGATAGTATGTAAAAGACAAAAACGGAAATACCAAAAGAAAGATAACTTAAATTATTAACTCTTCGAAGTTACACTGTGGAAACGATACACTTGAGTATAGTATACCCAACTTAATTCGATTTTCATAAAAACTTTTATAAGATGAACACTTTGTAAAGATTCTGTGGCTGAGATAAGATTTTTTTTACAGATTTTTAAGATGCATATACATTGTAAAGAATTGTTTTTTTCAACCAGAATGCTAGATAAAGCAAATGTATGTATCTTTATTAATAAAAAAGTTATAATGTCTATTCAACAGAAAAAGAATTAGAAAAGCATTGAAAAAAGAAAGCCGGGTATGTCACCTAGAATAGCATCAAAGATTTAGATTTGAATTTTTGTAATCTTGATGTCCTGCTAAGCAAATTTCCGGGAACCAAAAGCCATCAAGCTACATTTGAAAAATTAATATCGCTTGCTGTCGTCAATTTTCATTTTTCATGTTGGCCGTAAAAAAAATGAAATATAAAGTTTACCAACAGGCTGTCAATATCTGTAACAGTACTGTCGACAACCGTTTACCCTTAATCGTAAATGTACGATAAGCCGTGGTATTTTCTAGCTTTATCGCATATATCACGCGAACATAAAGTTAGCAAAATTTCAATTTGGGTAACGCGAACGTAGCCTCAGCGAAAATAGAGAAGCAGAATTATTTATGTAGCTGTTCCGTCGGCAAGAGATCGTCCATACGCTGTGCATACCTTAGTTGTGCAATACTATGCTTTGCGGCAAAGTAATGGTGAGTGCCACAGACAGGTACCAGGCAACGTTAATATTCTAACACCTTAAATACGTCTCAAGTACTCGCGAGAAATACACATTCTACAAGAAATTCAAGAACAGGAAAGAGCAATAAAAAATCCATATTTTTCCATTCTTTTTATAGCACTTTTTGAAATTAACATCTGAGGTTAATTTTATATCAATTAAATCATTCTCGAAAATTATTAATTCATTAAGCTATATAAATAAAATTATCGAACATAAATGTGGATAAATTAAATGAAGATATTTTGCGTTATTCATCATATTAATACAAAAAGGATCACAACATACAATTACATAGGGATTAGTATATATGCATTATTAAATGTATTAAATGTATTAAAAATTAAAAGTCCATTAGTCCGATTAATATAAGAGATGATAATAACATGCAATTATATGAAGGATGGGTGTAACGTACAGGGAATGAATGTAGGGACGGAGGGTTTCTCAGAGCGTTTCTCGAAATGCAATTTGCAACGTTTTACCGCTACCTAACCGCGCGCAATTATCGTAGGCTCGCACACTTACACAGTACGGTGAGATCGACGTGTACTTTCATGGGTTGCACACTCATGATGTTAGAGACTTCGCATCTGTAGCGAGCCTTGTCGTCCTCCGCTCGGGCGATGAACGAATACACATTCTCGCTGACGCCTGGGCCTCTGCGATGGGCCGCCGTGACCTTCTCGTCGTTCCTGTACCAGACAATTTCCGCCTGCGGATTTCCGCCGCGTGATCGACAGGCGAGCTCCACATTTTGACCGCGTTGCACAGTCTCACCTTCGGTGTAGCCTTCTATATATGGTGGACCAGGTGGATCTGTAAAACAGACACCGCCGTTGCGCCGTTATATAGAGGTGTCGTGCTAACGAAATTCATTTGAAAACATAATCTGGATAATTGGAATCGAAAGTCATTCTCAGCTCAAATGACTCAAAGTGACGACGTGTATGCAAGATTTGAGAAGAGCTCTATATATACTTCCGTCCGTATCGCGCATTTAAATTTTGTATATATATTTAGCGAATTGCGATTCATTCCGAGGATTACATTGCGTAATAAATTCAACCTAACTTGTTACATGAATTTCAGCAATTTGGTGAACGCTAAATAATTTTACTATTACCGCGGTACATATTATAGCATATTATCTAAATTGTCAAAGTTAACCTCTTATTATTCTATTTTATAATAGAAAGCATTTATTCGCATACAAGTTGAATTCGTCATTTTCCTGCACAAATAAAGCATTGTAAAATTAAGGTGTATTACGAATTTTTTAACGAAATGAAAAAATTACAGACTTTTTATATTGTATTTATATAAAAGTAATGTAAAAAAATTTGGCGATGATTTAGAACCTGTTTAATTTAAAGATTACATTAATAAGAAATAGACATGTTTTCAAAAAATAATTATAATAAAATGGGAAAATTTTCATTTAAACTATAAAATTACATTGTTAAGTATAAATATTGTGATCTTATTGAATTGTTTTGTGCGTATATAACATTCATTTTTATACGGAAAGTATTATCAATCCTATTTTTTGCAGACAGATTATACATCTGATACATCCTTAAAAACAGCAAAATTTTAAATTGAAGTCGACCCGATAATGCTTATACGAACTCTAATTTCATATAACGCTCGCTATACGTTTTTCATGACAATATATTAAGGTAACGCGTCATGACATAAGTGATGACGCGGGTGCATGTTTTTGTAGCAAATATAATGCGTTACTTACAGAAAACGGAAAGTGTAATGGTAGCCCGCATAGGCCTATCTATGGGAATTGCCGGGTGGCTGGCCTCGCAGGTGTAATCCATCCCATTATCATCCGCCGTAGGCATGATGGTAATAGAACCGTGAGTGTCGTATTTGAGCAATTCCTTCGTATCCCCAGGCTTCTCCTTGTCTGAAACATTGTCCACGCAAATCGTGAAATAAATACCACCTGTCACTTGCTTCTACCTTATAGCGAAATTAAAACTACTTTCCATTGACTAGATATTATTTTTTTGTTTTACACATTACTTGATGAGGATTTCAAGTAACCGTAAATTCCAGTTGTCATTTACTGTTATCTATATAATAGCAGCAACTAATCACTTTTCTTTAATGTTTTATTATTGTTTGCTTTTTTACAATTGTTTAACAATTTCGAGAAAATGCAGATGATGACACATCAATTTTATTAATTATATTTTCTAAAATTTTCCGAGAGCTATCCCAAAAAATTACTTTCAATATTTAAATTACACATATTACGTGTTTTTAAAATTTATAATATCAATTTTAAATATTTTTTTTTAAATTAGAATATAATCGATACGTATCGCATATTTATTGATAAATATCTGAATGTGTGTTTGAATTTATATCAAAATTAATTTCAATATCGAACGATATCGATTCTTGACTCTCGATCGTGCCTTTAATCGCTCGATTATTTGTGCGAATTGTCAAATTAATTCAAGATTCATGAAGAAAGTTGAATTATTCATAAATGACGCGCACAAAGATAATTTACATTATAGTCACGAGTATACGTAACGTTACGCGAGAAAGATACGCGTATTCGCAATGTGAATCTCTTTTTAAATCTCCGTTAAAAGCTTCGGACAAGCTTTTACAGCGAAAGCACGATGCATGACTCTTTATTCCGCGCGCTGCAATCCACACGGTTTTTGGAGACACAAACGCCGGAGATACAAACGCTCTCAACGGGGTTTGACTGGATGCGTAATGGTCGAGGAAAGATTGCTGCTAGAATGACGAGCGAGATGTGAGTAAAGCATCGTAACAAAGGAAACAATGACGATTGCGATTTATTTCTGCACGTAGACTTGCGTTTCACGCTGTTCACAGCCTCTCGCTGTTGTTAGATAGAGCGCATCTAATAGCTTTATATACTGCAAATCCAAGTGTGTACACTACAAATCCAAATGTGTAAAAAGCGACTTCAACATATGTGTGTGATTTACTTTTTTGTGTAAAAATGACACTATACTACACGTTTAAATGCGTAAATCCATTTCTGTATGCGGTACAGTGTGTTATTTTTACAGGGAAAACTAATCACACACATATATCGAAGTCACTTTTTCCACACTTGGGTTTGCAGTGAAATAAGTGCTTTCATATATGACTGTGATTTAGTTTTTCATTAAAATAACACACTATACTGTACATGGAAATGGATTTACACTTTAAATGTGTATATAGGATTATTTTTATGAAAAAAAAAACTAAACCAACATATATATATATATATATATGTATATGAAAACACTTGTTACACACTTATTACACACAAGGATTTGCAATATAGTTATTTTTCACTCCTTTTCCTTATAAAGTTGCATTAAATAATATACGTTGACATTGGATAAAATATTAAAAATGTTAAATATTATCTATCGATGCAAAAAAAGAAGCAATTTTTATTGTGCAAGTGAAAAAAAAATGTATTTTTCGTAAAAGCAATCTATTCATGTCTACAAAGACGAGTTCATGGATGGTGCAATTTTCATTACAGTGAATTACAGAATTTAAACATTATTTCCTGTTTTTAAAACGTATTATAAATGGCAATGGAATTGATGTTCATGTTACACCGAAAGGGATAATATTAAAATATGTACGTAATGTAAAATAATATCAAAATATTCATTTTAACTTCAATCGAATAATCCGCTAAATGTAAAGAGTAAATTTGTTTTAAATACCTACAAATTCATCACAGTCTGCTTACGTGTATTTTCCGATAATAAATTCGCGTTACGCGATAATAATCGCGATGTTCGTAGAAGTGCGGATTTTCCTTCTCCACGCATTTCATTCGAGTCGAATATACGTAGAATTCACGAAACATATGCAGCTAAATTTCTATAATATATTGAACCAATCACACAGTTAATTAAACAATAAAACGGCAACTAGAGTTATTATGCAAAAAGCCCGCAGTAATATTCTAATATTTTTATACGACACTTTTATGTTAAAGTTTAATTTCTTTAATCAAAATTATTTAGTCTTATATGACACGAGTCTACATTTTGTAAAATTAAGTCATCTCTATTACTCTTTCTTTTATCCTTCCTTTTTCTACTAGATTAATATTTCATCACCGACAAGAAATAGCAATTTCTGCATTCATTGGATATTCATTCGTTCATTCCTGTTCATCGAAATAGTTAATGAAGCGTCTTTATGCATCACGTTTCGCAGAAACTTTTCTTATCTACTTTCGACGACTACGAACTTGTATTTGCAAAAATTTAGTCAGTATTCATTTCACGAACATCCCGTGCATCGTATAATCGTATCACATCGCATCGCGTCGCTTCGCGTCCCTTTTCATCTCGTCCACACTATTTATCGATGTTCTTATCAGGATATATATATTTTTAACCCTGCACGCCGGATGGTGATAAAACGGCGCGCGCTCCGGCCGATGCAATCGTTTGATGTCTCGTCGGGTTGTCTCCGGCCGAATGTAAAAACGCAAGCGGTAGCGCGAGCGGGAGACAGAAATGTCAATTTCGGTAGTTGGAGCGCGGCCAGAGTTGTGTGTCACGGGATCGATCGAAGATGCACTTGGCAACTGGAAGCGGCGCTAAGAGGGAGAGGCGTCTCGATGCCGTCCCAATCTTTTTCCCACTTCTATGCGCGTCGCGATGAGCGTCGCCCGAACAGCTTCCTACGAAACGCGAGATTACTTATTCGCTTCCGAATATCGTGCACTAAGCCGAATCTAGACTGCGAAACGTGCGCGAACGAACACGAATGAACAGCTTACTTCAATGAGAGTGATCGGTACAGTCTACACAACTATTCGCTAAGATTATTCATTCATGCTTGTTCGTGCTCGCATGCTTAGTTTGGATCCTATCTTAATGCTGTATATTCACGCGTATTTCGTCTAGTTTGCAATTACGAAGAATTTGACTAACTCAGAGAATATAAAAGATCGTAAAGAACGTAGCAAAAAGAATTTTTAGACGTCTGAAAGATTTGGGAATCCGTAAAATACCTTTTACGTTTTTTTCTGAGTATTTGAATTACTGCAAGAATCTTTTATACAATTCAGGCATTTAATTCGCTTCTATGTGTTGAAAGATAAATAGAAAGCTGTCTTCTTTTTTAATTTTTTTCTCTAGTTACGACATTTTTTCTCTAATTACGAAAATACAAAAATACAGATAAAGAAATACGTATGTTAGAATAAAATCACTTTGGGTCAATGAAGCAAATTCTATTCTTTAAAAGACGTAAAAAGATTCGTGTATTCTTATTGTCATCGACATAACATTCGGATTGCTTATTGAAATATCCTCAACAAAAAAAGTATTTTAACTAATAATTTTTTATTCAAGCAGAACAATAAATCACGATAATATCAAAATGACATTAAAATGAATCAGAAATGATTAAAAAATGACTTTTAATGATCATCTTAGAGTCATTTCGACATTTTGATATCATGACTAGTTGTTCTGCTTGGATAGATTCAATAATTGTTATTGATTTTGAAGAATTATTATTAAAAAAACACATTGATATAGATATTTGAAATAAATAATCCCAAACATCAATTCCATGTCAATTCTTAAAAAGTGTTTTCAAACTTTTAGAAAGTACGTAAAGTATACGTTAAACTTGTCGACAATTTCTGTTATCACTCACTTTACAGTATCAATAACAGTTGTCAGTTATTTATAATGAAAGAATTTAATCAATCTTTCTGATATTTCCGCAATTCAGAATTTAATGTAAAAAGAAATTAATGAACTGAAAAAAAATTTACTAAATCTCAATATATATTTCTTTATAGTCCTAACAAAAATAAAAATTTATTCATCTTAAATTTTACTCAAAAAAAATTAAATAATCTAACTAATAATTCTTGCATCAAATAAATATATGTTTATATTATAGTAAGTATTTACTTAGAAATATTTAAACAAATATTTATAAAAAAATTAATTTTCTTCAATTTTCGGTATACACAGCACGATCATTGACAATTATGTTGAATACAATAAGCAACAAATATCAGTATGGTAGAATAATGTTAATTCAAAAACTCGCTTTTACGCGCAAATGAGAAAACTATTTATATTCGGTTGCGAAATTTAATTAGATGGTACCGCGTTATTAGATCAGAAACGCGCTTATCTGTGCATACATATAATACGGCGGTCATTTAATCCTCGTCGCGTAATAACCATGATATATTCATTCGCGCGCGGGATTATCGTAATCGAATATCAACGTGCGTAACAGGATAGCGTAACTACTTACCACCCTGGATGGAGATTGCGGCGATAGTGGTGTCGCCGCCCTTGATCTGCGTGTTTCCGCGGTACCAAATGATCGAGGCAGCTGGTTTCGCTGCACTAACGATGCACTCTAAGCGCCGCGATTCGCCCACCTTCACCTCGATTATCTGCTTCTTCGGATGATTACTGATTGCCACTTTCTGTGGAGGTGCTGGAAATAGAAAAAGCGAATTTTTTAATCCAATTGAAATTACTTTACATGATTTTTGGAAAAGAACAAGGAGAAAATATATATTTAAAGCGTAAAATCTACATCATCATATAAGAGCGTGATAAGAAATGTGATACGTATTTTCATGAATGGTACATTTTCATTGATAGAATTATATCGAAATTCTTTTTTATTATTTACATATAACATACAAAATTCTTAATTCAGAAATCATTTTCATTCATAAAGAAGCAATTTTCTTTATTTTAATAAGTTTTACTCGTCTCATTCTATATTACGCTTTTATTGCTTTATTGATTTATTACTTTATTAATTTAAAAAATAAAGCAGCTTTCCCCAGCTAGCGATGTAAGTATTCTACATATTAATGTGGAATACCTACATTACCTAATTTACAATCGATTTAATGAAAACCGAATGCCATCATTTCTTATAATCTTTCAATATTAAGGTAATTAAATTTTAAATTAAGACTCTACTTAAGCTCAAGCTGAAAGCTTGTTAATTAAGGAATAAGATCCTCTTATCTATTAGTCTCGAATCTTGCGTGGAAGAATTTATTTTCACTCTTTTGGAAACTGTATATCGGTATTTTATATACACGATGTCCCACTGTACAATAATTTAATAACAAACTCTGAAGATGAGTTAGAATTGAAATTATTCTAATACAAATATGAAGATGCAATTTGTTCTCAAGTTACAAGCGATCGAAGTTGGCCAATGCTACGCATGAACTTTGCATAAAATTTGATCCGTAAATGCTCATATCGATTTGATACTTATCTATTTTAATTTTTTACAGCTCAAGTTATTTCTATAAAAATATCTTTTCATTCAAAGTAATATAAATCGCTTTTCGAACATGAATTTACATGTATTATAATACGTAATAATGGTTCGTTTATTCGCCGAAAAAAGAATCTGGTAATATCTATCGTGTTTGAGTGAAATAATTCCAATCAAATGTTCGATTAATATAACCAAAAATGACTTTACTTTTCTAATGACGAATTCGATTGAAAAAACTAGTACTCCCAATCAAATTCGCTATAAATATTTATTAGTAAGTATTACTAAACATAATAATATAATCAACCGTTTTAGTAATTTATATATTAAATATTAAAAAAAAATTACATTTGGTTTATATTAATCAAACATTTGATGGGAATTATTCACTCAATATTTGAAAAATATTATCAAATTCTTCTTTCAGTAAATAAACGAACGTGTCACTCCGTACGTCTATTCGTGTATCTATTTCTTGAAATGCAATTCATTCTTGATTATAGAAAAAAATAATCAACTCTGATGTAAAACTCCTGCAATTCTCGTGAGTGTGTCGTTGGGCTGGATATATCTTGCTCGATTTTATTCGTTGAAGTACAATTTGAATCAATCGAAAACGAGAATCACAAAATACCTTTTTACAGAAAATTTACCGACAACAGTTATTGCTTGCTCACATTACTTACGGAAAGCACTTGGCATCGACTTAACATCGTATATTTCGCGTTGTACTTTAAATTCTCGGGTATTTAAATGTTCAACGTACGCAAGGTGCACGAATAATCTTGAATCGGGCAATTCAAGCAAAGAAAAGCCGCGCGGTGCCCGCGTGGATCGTTTATCAATTCAAAGCTTGATTCAAAGTAAAAAAATACGGAACGGGAAACGAAATATATTTGGTAGTACGTTTATCCTAAGATACATTAAATATTTTATGAAAGGAAGTAAACGATTGACGCACGGCGTATATACGAGTATGAACTGTTTTGTAAACATGATGACCTTCGCGCGACAATACTCAAGGCTGGTAGGCGACCGTTGCTTGCGACGTCGCATTATCCTTCATAACACAAGAGGCACCGAAAGGCGTTACACGCGATCTTTTTCTACTCTGATATAATTGTTTAGCAATTATGTTAAAGCAAGTGCACACGATAATCAAATGTATAAATGATAATCGGCGGACTGTTCTGTCATTTGCGATTAACTTTGCGACAGTAACATGCATTTTAATTCTTCCATTAAGAGTCTTCAAGATACAGAGCAATTTTTTGTTGTTCCAGATTATATAAAAATCTGATATACTTATCGAAAAAACTCTGGTGTATTTGTCGGAGCTTTAACAACGAGTTTTTATCATCGTAGAAGTTAGATTGTATTTTATTTATTTTTTACAGATAAGTTTATCTATCAAAGTTCACCATCAAAATATCGATGATGCCTTTAAAAATCCCAATTGCTAAAGGAGGATTAGAATTGTATCGATTACAACTTTCGATAAATGACATAACAGTTGGCTGACATTTTGTCTATCGTGTGCTCTTACTTTTATCTAACAACGTAAATTTAATGATTGACCAAAGTTCTTTTTCACTCCGAGTTCCATTAAATCCACAAAACGTCATAAGAATTAAGTGCGTTGTATTTTCGTATGATTTTGCATCCTTTCGCGTTGTTCTCAATGTATGATAAAGTGCATTAACATTACGTGCGATTAACGACGAGAGAGTGCCATGTAAAGCGTCGTCGTCGTGTATCCTGTGATTAGTGTACGCGTGATAATTAACTGTGTGAATATCTTCTTGCGACTGTGAATATTTTCCAAGTGTCAGTTTATCAAAGAGGTATTATTATTTATTTATGCATAAATAAAACATTTTATTATATATATATATACACATGTATATTTTATCAAATTTTATAAATATATACGTATAAAAAAGTATTATATTTATGTAATTCTCTTATTAAGTATCTTTAAAAAACAAAAAAATCAATCTGAGTAATAATCACGTTTTGAAATACTAATTATTGTCAGTGCTATAATATAGATACAGTGACTTAATATTCGGACATCATGATACTTTAGAAATTATTACCTTCTAAATATAATTTCTGTTGAAGTAAGAAATTTACGCTTTTGTTTTAAATTGAAAAATTCATTATAGTTATTAGAAATATATATTTTATTTTTATAATTACATTTATATGATACAGTTTTGAATATATTAAATTATAGACAGAATTTTGCTTAATTCTGGTATCGCAAAAATATTCAGACACCTAACAAGATATAATAATATAAATATATATATAAACAAAATAATAATAATTTTAATACTTTGTTGGATAATCTTTTTATTTAATAACATGCTGTAAACGTTTAGGCATGTTAAAAATAATTGTTGTTAAATAATCTGATGTAATGAGCGTCCATTCTTCTTTTAATCGTAATTTTAATTCTTCTTGATCTTATAGGCGTAATCCGAATGTTACGCTCTAATAAATCCCATAAATTTTCTATGGGATTTAAATCTGGTGACTATGGTGGAGGATATAATACTTTTGGACAGTTGTATAATAAATATTCTTGCACTATTCGCGATTTATGTTTTGGATCATTGTCTTGATAAAATTTGAAACTATCTCGTATATTTATATTATTAGCACTTTTTATTAAATTGTCTTTTAGAATACTTAAATATTTATTTTTATCCGAAATTCGGTCAATGAAAACTAATTCACTCACTCCTTTACTTGAAATACAATCCCAAAACCATTAAATTTCTACCACCGTGTGTCATAGTTGGTTTCAAGTTTTTCAGTTTGAATTCTTCGTTTGCTTTTCATCATATTATTTTCCGTCCATCAGATCCAAAAATGTTAAATTTGCTCTCATCAGCGAATATTACATCATTCCACTATATTTGTTCTTTAGAAATAAATTCCTTGGCGAAAATTAATCTTTTCTTCCAATTCGCTTCATTTATGAATGGTTTTTTACGAGCAACTCTACTGTTGTAACCACTTTCTTTTAATGCTCGACGAACTATATCAGAATGTACCTTCTTGCTAGTCTCTTCGTATAATTCTGAGGTCAATTTTGTAGCACTTAATCTAGGATTTACTTTTATTTTCCTAATAATTTTACGTTTATCCCGAGTCAAGTAAATTTGGACGTCCTTTCTGAGATATTGATTCAATGCGATTTTCACGAACATATCTTTTTATAATATAATATATATCTTTGTAAATATATAATATTTGTAAATATATAATATATATATTTGTATTTTACAGATCGAGACGTTCTACTAAGCAATGGTTGGTTTCTCGTGCTATAACTGTGCTCCCGTTCACACGTCGTTTCGGTGAGTGCTAAATTATTTTTTATCTTTGCTGAAATGCAATTTGTATAAATGATGTCAAATATAAACATATATTAAAAAAAAATCACAGAAAATAAAAAAATTAAAAGCTTTTTCTCTTGATAACTCCTATTAGAATATAAAATTTGAGTTTGCAATTGTAATAAATGCAGCAGTAAAATATGATATGCATATATAAATATTATGTAATATTTATTCTTTTAAAATGTTTGATATTTGAATTTATTACTCATCTCTATAAACCTAGTCATATTAAAAACATTGAAATTAAGAATATAAAAATATTATAAATTTAATTAAAGCAATAAGTTTCGAGATTTTCATGTATCACATATACATGTATCACAAAAATAACGTGACGATCTTTCACAATCTTCTCATTAATATTGATTAATATTGGAATAATTCATTTAAATAAAAAAATTGATATTATTTTGTATAATAATTTAAAAATTTCAATAAGTAAGAATATTAAAGCTTACAACAGTCGAAAATAATTCAATGTGAATTATATATATATATATTATTGTATAATATATACCACATTTGTAGTCTTTCAAACTGCGCACCGAATTGATTTTCCAGACTTATAAACCTAATTAAACTACTATAATAATACCACAAATTAAATTAAATTGACAAACAAATTTTAATAATTTGATGTTCAATCTGGTATCATATTAGAAAGATGTTAATGCTTTGAAAAAACTCTAAATAAATTTATTGCAAAAAATATTACCTCGGCTGGGAATCGAATCCGGATCTCTTATATTAATATTCCGTACGAACGTCCTAAGC